TTAGCTGCCGAGCGACGATTTGCCGGCGGACATAACTGATTGTGACATGGGACTGGACAACTATCTGTGAGGACAGCAGACCTGAACTTTGAAACAATGTTTATCCGCATACACTTTTGCAATCGCTGTAATTTAAAAATCAATATAGTTAAATATCTATATAAAGTTTTCACTTTAGTACAGAGCAAATACGCGTCTATACTCTTCATGCAACAGATTCAGATTTTAAAAAGCAAAAACGAATTGAATCCATTTTGCCGAAAATATAAACCTCACAAAGATCCAACCTTATATTTAAATAACACATCTATTAAAGTAGTAAAAGAAGCGAAATTCTTTGGTTGAATTTTTTATGAGCTTTTGACCTATCGACCCCATATTACATTTTTTTAAATATAGTGTTCCGAGAAATTATTGAGAAAGTTGTTATTTAAAAATCCGTATTTAATACATGTATGTAAACTACAGAAGTTTTACTTATATGAATATGTGGAGATATGATTCTCTTACAGTCTAAAGTGTGTTTTCAATACTTTGTGAGACCTCCTTGCCCTACAATACACGAGTGAATGCGCCTAGGTATACCACCGATCAAAGTTTGTAGGAAATCATGTCTTCCCAATGTTCGACCACTTCTTTCTTCACATCCTCAATATTTCTAAGTCATTTTTGGTTTACTCTGTCCTTCATAAGTCCCCACACATTCTCAATAGGGTTAAGATCATTCGTGACCAACTCGTGTCATTCCGGGACAAGCCGAATAGCGACTCGTGCCCCTCTGGAAGGCTTTCATATTGGCGCCTGAACATCAGAACTACTTCAAACAGGAACGATAACTCTATTCTTGTTTGATTCCAATGGTACTTAATTTCACCGAAGTAAGCATACATTGTATTGCTGTTTATGTTTTTAAAACTTTTAGATACAACTAAAAGAAGGAGAAAAACTTATTTGTTACAGACTTATTCTGACGTAATTATTACCAGATGTTCACCTTATATTTCCAATTATTTTTCTAAATAGGGTTTGATAATCACAAATGGGATTTATTTGATTAAATGTGTAAATAGAATTTATAAAAGCTACATTAAATCCCAAAGTAGAAACTCAAACATGACTTTAACATATTTCTCAAACTGTACATTCGTGTAACCTTGCTGTCTTACCCTAACTGGAATCTTAAATGATTTCGCTGAAAAATATATGAATGACCAAAATAATGTCAGACTAAAATATTCCCAGAGATGTAAAATATGCCCAATGATAAAGATTAAAGTTGATTAGTTACTGCAGATATATGTCTAATATTATTAATTGAAACTCGTAGCGATTTATAATTACATTTTCTAAAATTGTTGGAAGCGCACGTACAATCTCCATAGCAAGCCCGCAAGATCGTCAGAAATACCTCAGTTGGACCCATGAGAGCCGTTATGTCAACAAACGCACGTGCGTGTATTTGAATCTCTCACCGTCAATCGCATGATTCTTATCAAAAGCTTCATAATAGGCAGCAAAATCCTGTTAGCTAAGTTCTTTGTACTTTCAATATGACGATATATATTTTTCATGATTTTTTAAACAATGACATAATGCCATAAACGATTTAAGTACTCGGGATTATTTTTACCAAAGCACTGCAGTGATTTACGCGTGTTCTGATTGGTTTGTCGTATGTTCGCACATAACAAGCATCGAGAGGGGGACGAGTCTTCTTGGAGGTTACGGAAAGAGGCGAGTAGAGACCAATGGGTTAAGCTCCGGGTTGTAGCTGGACCAGTGTAAAACTTAAACATTTTCGTCCGACAACCACTGTTTTGTGTAGCCCGCAGCGTTTTGGATCGTTATCGTGCTGGAAAATCCAATTATCTTCATACTGTGTTCGGGCCATTGGGCGGAGGTGACCATTTAAGATGTCAACATATCGTTCCTTTGTCTAACTGCTAGTGAAAATACATAACGGCGTCACGCCAAGTGATGATATCCACCACACATGTGAACTTTCGGGCTATGTTTTGGGCGTTGGAAGATAGGCTTTACAGTATCTTTTGTCCAAACTTTCACACAGTTCGGAAAAAGCCGGATAGAACTTTCGTCAGAGAAAAGAAAACAATATCCCAACCTTGATTTTCGTGAGCCATACACCAGTTTAAACGTCTTTCTTTTTGTGCATCTTTCAATGGCGAGGGAATTCTGCGCTTTTTCACTTTCACCCAGTTAGGTCTTTGTAATTCTTGCCTAAGGGTTTCATTACAAACCTCATTACTTCCTCTATCAATCATCTCATTTCTGATATGCTCAACGCTTTTAAATTTTCCCCTACTCACAATCCGATCCGTAGCACTCCGTAGTTCTGTATACTGTAGACAGAGGAATGTCATGCCTACCAGGTACCTCACATTAGTCAGACCCCTTTCAAACTCACCTAGAAACCAGCTTTCTTTTCTCTTCTGGTGTCAAATCTGCCATGTCAACAAAGGAAGCCGTCTCCAACACCAGGGGAGATAACTCTTGATGTAGTAAGGTAACTCCTATTTTAAAATTCTATTATCAGCAACAGAAAACAAAGATTTTCTCAATAATTTCTGGGAAAACTGTATATGCCTAAATCTTGGATCTTTCCGAACTTCTATTGACAGTCTTTATGTCGACGTCGATGAGCCATCTTTAAAACATCGCCATACCAACATCATCTTTGTAGTATGTCACAAAACTTTATTCTAATAAGTCAAACCCTGCTTATTACTGTATGTTTAACCATCTCTTTATAAGGATCTGTATGATACAGAGTCTTCTCTTATTCCACCTATTGGAATAAGAAAAAAACTTTCATTTCTGATGCTACAAAATATATATCCTTCCCGCCTGGTTTCTTCTCCTTGGCAATTGGTAAGACCACAGGTAGATCTCACATTAACAAAACTTAAGAAATCTGAAACTAACCAACTTATCTACCAACAACAATATAATGAATTAAGAAACACTTATAAACTTTTAAATCTATCTTCACAGATGGATCCAAAGATGGTGGCGCAGTTGCTTGTGCCACTAGTCATTGGATCCAGAACAGTTTCTTTCAGGTTGCCAAACGGCAGCTCCATCTTTACAGCCGAGGCTCTTGAATTTATGAATAAACAATCTAGATATAAGCAACACATATCATTTTCAGATTCTCTTTCTTGGCTTCATGCCATTAAAAACACGTTAAATAAACTTCCACTTTTAATCGAGATTTTGAGATTTTTGAATTACACAATGATCTTGCTACTGGCAGATTCGACATCGTCTTCTGTTGGTTGCCAAGCCATGTTGGTTAATTTCTGGTAACACAATGGCCGATTTTACTGCTGCTAAGGCACCACTCGAAAATCCTGTGACACAACTTCTCATCCCATACTCCGATTATAAAAACTATCATTAGATCGTACATCCGTGATCTGATGCAGAAGAAGTGGGACACCCAGGTAGGTATCAATAAATTATATGCAATTAAACCAACCATCGGTTACACCTACTTGGGTTGTCAGTCAAGATGTAAAGAGGTCATCATGCGACGATGTCGTATTGGCCATTCTCGATATACACACGAATATCTATTGAAAGGTGAGGATCCTCCATTTTGTATCCCTTGTGATGAAAGAATCAGTCAAGCATGTCCTGCTTGACTGCATAGATTTTTCCATCATAAGGGATAAATATTTCAAAGTTTCATCAATGAAGGATCTTTTTGAAGTAAGTTCATTTTTAATACTTGGTTGTTTTTAAAAGGATTGAATTATTGCATACATTTTGAATGACATGAATGTACATAGATAATTAGTATGTTATAATCGGTAGATTAAATTAGCAACCGAGATCGTAAGTGGATCTTAAAAAGGGAAGGAAGATATTCAAATCATTGTAAAATCGTCCCGAATTCTCGAGGCGGCCAGAATTTAGTATCTGATTGACACAATGATATCCAGAAGACGAGAGACTGTGCACTGGAAGTGTTGTAAGGCCGGATGTCCTGCAACAATCAACACCTTTAAAAACCTCATCACCACCTACAGGAACATCCACAACCATGTCCCAGATCCTACAAAGCTGAAATCAGATGCCATCTTTGCCAACTTGAGAGAAATGGTCAAAGATGATCACAGACCAGTGCCAAATATCTATCAAGAGGAAGTGACATTATAGCAAAACTGTATATTTTAGCAAAGTGAAAGATGAAATATCAGTTTGATAGTCAATATGAATCATCTTTCCATTGTTTAATATTTGCTCCCACCAATGATGGTTAAATATACAGCCTAGTATATATATATATATGTGTGTGTGTGTGTGTATGTGTGTGTGTGTGTGTGTGTGTGTGTGTGTGTGTTCAGAACTAACAACATCTGAGTCGGAGGAAGTTCAACAGACAGCACCAGTTCTGTACAGTGTTAGCTCCAGCATATACCGAGCCTGATCCAAGACGCTTCCTCCTCTACCCAAACGACGCCAGAACATCGACCTGCCTGACATCTACCAGCAGACCTCCAGTGGCCAGAATTTCGTCCTACATGCTGAAGATGACAACAAGCTCCTCGTCTTTTCCACCCCAGACAACATCCGCCATCTTGCCACGTCAATCCAGCTCGGGTCCATGCAGGTAGCAAAAGTATTGTAAGTCCCCATGGTCTCTAGTATGGTGATCTACCTTCAGTAGCTGGCGATACTCAGTCCGTTTTATATTGTATTGTCCTAATTTGAAATCCAATTTTAGAAATAGATGCAAGTTTTAATTCTTGATACTGTGATATTCTAGTTGGTTATACTGTCCTTCGTCGACAGCTTTGCAGTTCCATTGTTGAAGGATAGTCCGGTTAGTAGTATAAAGATTTTACGCGTGGTTACAGTTTTCAGGTACAACAATCTCACACATATAAGAGTAAAGGTCTCCACATTTTCACTCTTAACCATTTCTTGGTACCAGAGTTAAACACCACACAGTTGTAGGTTCCTTGAGGATCAGACCAGTAGAAGAAGACTGGCGCCTGCCCTTCGTGCCATTTCAAGACATCGCCACCAGCGGTGATTCCGATCCAAATGTCTTTCCCTTTGAGAAAGGAGGACAATTAGTTCACAATATATTCAGTTTAGAGTGAGTGATTACTGCTAAACGCCGCACAATGTATCTTATCAATCTTGAAAATTTATATGCAGCTTATATATACACCATTTTAGGATTTGTTTACTTTCATTAAACAAATTCTTTAATCAATCTGGCCAACGGGGCGGTGGGGTAGCCTAGTGGTAAAAGCGTTCGCTCGTAACGCCGAACACCCGAGTTCGATTCCTCACATGAGTACAATGTATGAACCCTATTTCTGGTGTCCGTAAAATTGCTGGAATATTGCTAAAAGCGGCGTAAAACCAAACTCACTCAATCTGGCCAACGTTTATTTAATTACATTAACTATTACGTTTGGATAGAGAGAGGTTTTTTGTTGTTCATGAAATATTATGGAATATGGTATCTATGGTATCTAGTACATGCGTTTTAACAGTTTTGAGTTGTGTGGTATCATTGTATATTCTGAGCTTACAGACGTCACGCCATTACGTAGAACTCTGAAGACGTTAAAGCACACACGGTCGTTACGTATAACTACAGGTTGACAGGTTAGCTATCCTTCTATATCCGACTGAGTTTGACCTTTGATGTTTGAACAGTATTACAGTCATATCATGGAGGGTTTGTTTAATATGGGAGGAAAACCCGACGTAATGGAGGTCTCTGACGTTTACCATTTAATGAAACCGACGAAAAATACTCGGGGGCAAGCAACTAACAATAATTGATTTCTGGCGTGCCCAAGGGACACAACTCTGTACGGCGAACTTCGGCGTTTAAACGTCAGGAGCAATCGGTGGTCTTTGGTTTCTTTGAATAATGACAGAACCACTTAAATCATGTGAAAATGGGATGTTCTTTAAGTTCTTTTGAGTAGTATATTTTCCTTCATACTGTACCTCTTCGTTTGACCATAGTGTACACTAGGCCATTCTGTGCTGCCGAGTAGATATTAAACAACCTGCCGCTCAGACCCAAACAAGCGTTTTTAGCAGCAATGTTCGTCTTCAGTTGACCGAAAAGATAGAAACATTTATTCGTTGGTTTGTGGTATACCCATCCGTCTGGACAATCAGCTGAAAAGAGAATTGTGTATTCATTGATTCCTGCACGCTTAGTCATTACAGTGTTTACAGTGAGTGAGTGAGTGCAGTTACACGCCTTTCCTTAACAATATTCCAGCAACATCACGGCGGGGGACGCCAAAAATGGGCTTTGCACATTGTACCCATGTGGGGAATCGAACCCGTGACGAGCGAACGCTTTAACCACAAGGCTACCACACCGCCCATCAAATCTTTGCAGTGAACGATCGTGTCGTTCGCAACTGACACCGTACTGGAGTCAGCGATTTGATCGGCATAAAAAATATTGCTCTTTTAGCAGGTTAAGGCCAAGGAGTCAATGGCGAAACGATTCTGTTTGCGATATGATTATTTTACAATTTTACACACTCTACAACAGTTGTTTCTTGTCTCAATAGTTGAAAAATGGTGACTTTCAATGGTTTATCATTGTCCAAAACAGAAATGTATTCTTTCTTTTGGACATTAAAATCACTGTTATTTAAATGGACGAATATAGGACAATTTAACTCTATTGGTTCGTTTAAATATGAATGCATTTGAGAACGATTTGCATATGTTGGACTTGTAAATTTAACTCAATATCTTTGTAGTTTTTTAATTCATAAAAGTAGGTGGGTAGCGTTTCTTTTGGCGTCTAGATACATCCGTATTTCAGTCGCGTAAGAGCTTTCATCCTCGAAAGCTACTGTTATGAACGATTTGATAATTGAACTATTTTGCACCACACAGTGAACGCTTTTTATTCAATAAAGTATCTGTGACAAATGCTATGCCCCAAATAGTTTATTCACAGAGAAACCATACAGATACATCCGTATATGCTAAATCAACGGATTCTATTACATTGTAATTATATTTCCTATGTAATGATTCTCTCCGTCAACTTCTATATCTGAGTAAAAGTGTTTGTATTCTTAATTATTGTGGTCATTGTATTAGACGGCTCATTAACCGGCTGCTCATCACACACACACACACACACACACACACACACACACACACACACACACACACACACTTGCGTCACTTGCGTCATCTTGCCACATCCGTGGAAACTGCACAACGCATCCCTGGTTTGAGAAGAATTTCCGACCAAACTGTCAGGAATCGATTGCGTAAAGTGGGGATTCGACCAAGAAGGCCAGTTGTCGCCAGGACGGCACGGTATTAACGGTACATCGCAATACGCCTTTCAAACGATACGTATTGCAATGTTGTTTTTTCTGATTATCTTTATGATTTAAGTTCAAATCCATACAGACTTTCATTCACGCTAATTTTTTCATTGTGATTGATTGACAAAACAGCATACTTTACATACAATACATTTATATAAAAGAAAATACAATCCATCAAAATCAAATCTAAATCCTAGCATGTAGAAAATAGGCTCTGCATGTACAATCGATGTCACTCACTATCAAACACTTAGGCTCCCAATACATCGCAATCCGTATCGGTATACGGGTACCAGAATCACAATATATTGCAATACAATTTATTTGCCAATACACAGCCCTAGTTTTGAGAGAGTTCTATTGGCGCAATCGCTTTCGGTGATGTCGCAGAGTCCGGAACTGGAGCCTAAGAAACTGGAGGCGAGTCTGGTTCAGTGATGAATCGCGATTTCTTCTTCACCGGCGAGATGGAAGACAGCATGTTTATCGTCGGAGAAATGAACTTTTTGCCCCTTGTTACGACGTAAATTGTAATAAAAACGCAAATTGTAATACTTGCAGCAAATTGTAATAAACTTGACGTAAATTGTAATAAAAACGTAAATTGTAATAAAAATTGACATAAATTGTAATACGCAAATTGTAATGAAAATTGACGTAAATTGTAATAATTTTCGTTGCGGTAAAATGTAATAAATATTTACGTAAATTGTAATAACAGTTTTAATCATTCGTAAATACGCGGGTGTTTTTCGTTGCATTTCATACATCAAATAAACTTGTTAGGGCGATAACTCAAGAAAGAAATGATGGATTTTGTTCAAATTTGGTACCAAGGTATATTGGCGAGATTCACCGACACAAGTGAAATGGAGTGACCTTGAGATAATTTTCAAGGTCACAGCAAAAATCTGAGGGTTTTGCCAATATAAAGATTGTTAGCGCGATAACCCAAGAATGAATTGACAAATCTTAGCTAAATGACGAAAATGATATTCGTCCTGATATATAATCGATATAAACTGTCCTCTGTATCATGTCTTTTCGCTAATATCTTTTGAGGTTTTGATATGTATACATATAAAGTGGGGGTGGGGTAGGGGTGGGTTTCTAACGGGTATAACTACGAGGGACGTTCAAATCAGCCAGCCTCAGTCAGCCTCACCTAGAATATGATACAAATGCAGCTGTTTTTATGTTTTATTTTTCTACATATTATCTGTCAGCCTCAAGCAAATTGGTTTTGCTATGTTGCAGCCTCACGATCCCCATTTTGTGAGACTTTGTATCTTGGCTTGGTACTCCCCAAAAACGTAAAATCTGCAATAAAATGCATCACAAACTTCAGGAAACAAAATATGCTATGTTTGAGATTGGTAGAAGTCGGCTAGAATCAAACTTAAGATATTAAACTGCACAAAAAAGCAATTTCAAAACTACAATCGCTTGTTCAAATGACTCCCCATTCTGTTTACTGAAAGAACTTGAGAAAGAAATGATGGATTTTGTTCAAATTTGGTACCAAGGCTTATTGACTGGAGATTGGAGATTTACCGACACCACTTGAATTTAGTGACCTTGAGGTCATTTTAAAGGTCACAGCGAAGGTGTAACAGTTTTGCACATGCCAAGCTTGGTAGCCGCGAACTCAGGAAAGTATTAATAGATTTTGATCCAATTTTATATCAAGGTGTATTGGCGGGATTCCCCCAACACCAATTGATTGGGAAACTTGTGCTCATTTTAAGTTCACAGTGAAAAGTGTTTTGCACATGTCTAACTTTTTAGTGCGAAAATACAAGACAGAATTAATATGTTTTGCTTAAAGGTAGTACCAAGATGCGTTGGGAGTATCGTCTAACGCCAGTCGAAATCAGTGACCTTCGGATTATTTTCAAGGTCACAGCTAGTATTCTTGCGATATCTCCAAACCTAATGGATGGAATTTGTTCGCATTTTGTATCAAGGCATCAGATGACAGTTTCGGTAACGTTTACATAATTTTCAGGGTCAGACAGAGGATAATTGCGACATTCAGATATCGACATGTGGCGGGGGTAATAGCTATGTTTGTGACAAACGCTTTGTCATTACTAATTTTCAAATTTTTGTTAGCATATGGTTTCTATAATTTCATGTTAATTCTACCAGCTGTGAAATTATTCGTCGTTAAAAAAGACAGATTATTTGAGTTATTTTTCGATGTTGACGCAATTAGGACATGTTTTACGAGCAATATATTCAATAATTTAATGTTATTCCTATTACATTTGTGAAGTTCTTCATAGCATATCCCAAAATAACAGGATATTGTTTATATTACGCTTTGAACTGTACATAGTTTAACTTAATTTTCGAATTATTTTCAGTGTTGACGTATTACTACATATTATTGTATTTTTATGATGAGGGAATTTTAAGTTACATTTGCTAAGGATATCAAAAATTGCTGACGCCTGGTAATTCCTTGCCACATAGCAGTCAATCTGTCTAGACTCATTTGTTGTATTTGATTGATGCATTTAAAATAAAATGTAGAAATGATATTGAATTGCATCATTTGCTTCAAGGAATCTCATCAGATGTGCTCGTTATCAAAGTAAAGTCAAAACTTCTTTCTGTAAGGTATACAGTGGAAGTTGACACCTTAATTGTTATGGGTAGACTAAAGAAATCATTTATTTAGTTTCACCGCTCAAAATACAACAAAGAATTCAACGGGTGGCATTACCCTCAAAGAATGATCATAGCAATGCTTATAACCTACGAGGGCAAACATATCGGGGATAATTTGTTTTCATGCGATATGCACCGGGTAAAATATCATTTTGTCATGGTGACATGACATCATGAACAATGTTATGACGTCACGTTGCTTCTAAGAAGCCGCCTTCTAAATACAACGATGACGGGGAGCCTGCCTTTGTTGGAAAGTAGATTATCGCGTAATTTCCTCAATTAAAGACTTCGGTAATAATAGAAATTATATTCGTGACCATAATATGCTAGGTTAACGACCTAAATATCGACATATCCCTTCTCTGGTTCCGAAAATACCAAGATTTAGGCAGTTGTGTTATCTTCTATAAAGTCGGCTATATTCAAACCATGAGAAATGTCGTCAAATAATGTGAGATGACAACGTCCCAATAGTGTCCATATATTTTAGAAATCTATAACAATAAAGCACAACCTCACTACTTTTTTTGATAAATGACAAAGGATTAATCAACCATATTAAAAGGTTTTCAGGCTTGAAGGACGAAGCCCATTAAAATCTATTGCCAGCTCCCTTTTAGAGACTGATAAAAGGTTCGAAAATGTGGGTCATAAATGCATGAAAGGTTTTATTGTTGTTCATACCCGTTAGGCCTCCCGCCTCTACATGTATTTGAGATATAACCGTTAGAACCACCACCGCCCCCTCTATGTCTTAAAGTATGCTAGATATAACCGTTAGAACACACCACACCACTTTTCTACCCATTTATTCAATTGGGCTAAATCATAGTTGAGAGTTGCTTCTATGGATTTTACATATTTTCCCGCAACACCGATTGATGTGTCATCGGCCAACATTATTGTGATATTTTGTAAATTTCCAGGTAAATCATTGATATATACAAGGAACACAAATTAACCAACGGCAGATCCTTGAGGAACCCCTGCAGTAACATTTAGTTTTTTATAATGTTCCATTAACAGAGACACACTGTCGTCTATCAGGGCCCGGTTGTTCAAAACTCGGTTATCTTTTAACCAGCCGTTAAGTACATTTAACCGACTGTTACCTAATAACAGAGGGTTATC